AGCTGGTGAACCAGGACCCTCGGGCCCCACGCCTGCCGGACCACACCTGCCTTCGGCGGCTTCCCCGGGGCACGAGGGCCTGGCCGCTCCCCGTGCGTGCCAGCAAAGAGGCCCAGCACCAGAGCAGTGAACCTGGGAACCGGCTCTTGCAGCAGGAGGGAGATTCCGGGCACTCGAGTCCCCGAGAAGCAGCACACCAGGTGCCCGGCTGGACCCCGGATCCCTGGTGGACGCGACCCTCCAGGCCCTCAGCTGCTTAGCTCCACGTGACCGGTTCCTTGCTCTGCAGCTGCTCTCCGTTTCCTGGACGGCACACAGCAGGGACCTGCCGGCTCCTGGGCCCCAGTCACCCTGACCACGGGCAGTGCAGCCCTGCCGGGCAGGGAGGCACGGGAGTTTCCTGCGGTGGCCGCGACAGAGCACCACGGACGGGGCAGCTTAAACCACAGACAGTCACTGTCCCGTCCCCTGGTCCTGGAGGCCCGAGCCCGAGGTCCAGGCCTGGGCAGGGCCGGGTCCCCCCGAGGCCTCTCTCCTTGTGTGCGAACGGCCGTCCTCTCCCTGTGTCCTCGCGGGGTGGTCCCTCCGTGCGTGTCTGGGTCCCGATCCCCTCTTCTTCCAAGGACCCCGGTCACACGGGATCAGGACCCACCCCGGTGACCCCGTGTCACCTTAACCACCTCTTTAGAGGCCCTCTCTCTAAATACGGCCACATTTGCCGGTCTCGGGGTTCAGGGTGGTGATATGACCTTTGAACCCAAACGAGAGCACCCGTGTGGCCATGCCAGCACTCCTACCACACACAGCCAGGCCCCGGGACCCCGGTGTCCCCACCCCACCGCCCCAGTCACAGGCAGGTTATCCCACGGGCACCCAGCAGCCCCGAGACGCCTCATGTCCATCCTCCCCAGGACGGCCCCCCCAGCCCTCGCCCAGCCCCTGTGACACCCTGTTGCATGTTAAGGTCCAGTGTGTGGGGGCAGCGAGTGCAAAGGGGTCCCTCCTAGAGCACCCCGGCACCCGCAGAGGGACAGGCAGAGCCCACAGGGAGCCACCGACTCGGGGCCAGGCCCAGGAGAACATTCTCTCTCGTCTGAGCAATGCTCCCGGGTGGTGCCAGCAGCCCATTGAGGCCGCCACAGAGAGCGAAGGAACCTGGCAAGGCCGCCCAGCCACGGACGTGCTCAGACGTGAGGCCCCATCCCCGCCCCCTGGCCACGCTCCCTGCATCCCGCGCCCCATGGCCTCCGGACCCCCGGACCTTGGCATGTGCTCGGAGGTCCTTCTGGCCCGGGCTCCAAATTCACCCACCCCTGGACCGTCCCTCTTCTCCTCCCACGTTCCTCGTGGCCTCGAGGAAGGGCCTCCCCGCCTGCCCCCCATCTCGGGCTTGTGGCCTGGGATCCCCAACTAAGCCGGGCCACGACCAGAGGACCAGGCCCCAGAGAAGGAGACACGGGGAAAGGCACTAAAAGGAATTCCCAGCTTCACCAAGCACTGGGGCGGAGGAACGCGTCGGGGAGGCCCAAAGGGGCGGTGGGAAGAGGCCTGACAGCTGTCCTCGGCACCCCGCCCCCCACGCAGCCCAAGAAACCGCCGGGCCGACTTCCAGCACGTCAATGATTAACACACACTCGCCGTGAGGTGTTGCCAGAGCCTCCTTGGGAGCCCAGGAGAGGCAGGGGGACGGGGACAGGAGCGCCCCGCGGAGTCTGAGAGCCAAGACCCCCTCCACGCGCCCTGAGGCCCTCCCTCAAACCTCTCAGCCGCACCTGCTCTCAACGTCAGGGCAGCCGGAGTCGATGCTGCCTGTGGGGGGCGCTGCGCACCTGGCCGGCACCGGGGAGCCACCGTGGTGGGAGGGTAGGAGGCGGGAAGGGACAAGAGTCAGCACACATCACGCTGCAGCTCCCCGAGAGCTGGAGGGGAGAGGGGTGAGGACGAAGGAGGAGGGAAGAGGGGGGAAGAGGGGAGGCGGGGTTCCCCGAGGCTCACCACTCAGGGGAAGGACACGGACCCCCGGGGGTCTACAGAGGGAGGTGGGGGCCCGGCCCAGCACCCAGGGTAGGGTGGCTAGGGGAACCTCTCCCCTGCCCAGCCGGCTCCACTGTGGCCCATCAGCGGGGAGACCGGGACCCCCGCGCCGTCGGCAGACTGGGAGCCGCCACGCGGTGGGGGTACAAAGGGCCTCGGAAGGCCGGGGGGCCAGAGGGCAGGAAGCCCAAGCGGACAGAGTCCTGCTCCCTGACCCCAGCGGCCAGGGAAGGCCGGGGGCACACAGGAAAGGCCGCTCTCCTCGGGGCTGGCCGGAGCAGGGGTTCCCCGAAAAGGGAGGGGCGGGGGGGGACAGGATATCCTGGCTAATTTCCCCAGCTGCCCCCGGAAGAGTGTGCCCAGGCTCGCGGGAACCGCCGGGACAGTGGCTCCCACAGATGGCCGCCCGCCCGCCCGCCCGCCCGGGGCCCTGGCCCTTCGAGGCCAGGAAACCGAGCCCGGCCGCCGTGGCGTTGTCCTGCCCCTGCACGAGCTAGCCCAGCAAGGCCAGGGCTTTCTCGGCCGCCATCTCGGCCACTCCCTCCAGCCGCACCGGGGCCGGAGCGGACGCCGTGGCCCCCTCTCACGGGGCTCCGTCTGGGCTCAGGCCACCCAGCCCCAGGCCCCTGCTGCAATCCCAGCTCAAAGGCCAGGTCCCCTCAAGTCACTGGCCAATTCGGACAGTGACCAGGGCCTGCTGACCTCCTGGAGACACCGGGGGTGACGGAGGCAAGCTTCCCAGGCCCCAGACAAGCCACACGCCCTGCCCGGCCAGGGTCACCTCCAGCCCTGGCCCACGCGGGGGTGGGGAGCCGCAGCGGGGGTCCACACCCCCCCCCCCCAGGGCCACGGCATACCTCCTCCAGGGCAGGGCCCAGAGCAGGAAATGACTGACCCAAGGTCACACAGCCACTCCAGGAGCATCCCTTCCTGGCCCACCCCGTGGGGAAGCCACTCAGCCACCGTCCCCAGCAGCCACCCCTGCCCGCCAGCTCCCGGAGAGGCCGGGCAAAGGCGCTGTGCTGAGCACACTTCCGAGGGCTAAACAATCAGAATCAGGAAGAAAACACAAGTGTAAGCAGAGACTTCCTCTGGGGCGCGGCGAGCCCTCTTCCTCCACACGGCACGGCCAGGGAGCCCGGGGGACGCGCGCCCCCAGGCCTGCATCCCCAGGATGCGCATCGGGGGTCTTCCGGAGGCCCCTAGTCCTGGCAGCACTCCAGGGGCACGGAGCCACTGCCACGCCACCGGGAAGACCCCCGGGCGTGCCTCCCCGCCTTTGCTGGGAGCTGGCACGTGGGGCTCCGGGACGGAGAGGCTGCGGGGCAGGGTTTTCTCCGGGGCCTGGCTGTGGGGTCCGTCCCACCCCTGGGCGCCTCAGGTCAGGGCCAGGAGACAGGCAGCCCGTGGGAACCGTGGCACCCACAGCCAGTGTCTGACTCGTGGGGTCCCTCGGGGTGGAGGCACACGAGCGTTCCCTAAGCCCCAAACAAGCCACTGCTGCAACCACGGGCAGGGCCACCCGCTCTCTCCCACAGACGGGCCACCCACACGGTTCGGGCACCCTGACTCTTGGGCAGGGAAGGTGGGAAGAGGTTCTTATGCCTCTGGGGACACCGTCCCGGAGACCTGTCAGCCGACAAGACCCTCGGTGGGGTCGGCAGCAGCCCAGGTACCACCTGCACTCACAGAGGAGCCGGAGTGCGAAGCTGAGGCTGCCCCACCCCCACCCCCCCACCCCGCCTCACCTTCCCCACAGGATGCTCCAAGCCAGCCGGAGCCCAGTTCCCACAGCACTTGGGGCCCGAGGGCTGGCCCCTGGCGGAGACCAAGGCCCTGACGCCTGCCCCCCCCCCCCCCCCCCCCCCCCCCCCCCCCCCGCCACCAGGTCTCTCCCGGCCACATAGCCAGCTGTTGAGACAGCAGCACCTGTCACTAGAGGGAGGCTAACCCATCGTGCCCCCCCCCGGCAGAGCCCCCCCCCCCCAACCCCCCCCGTGAAGGCTCACGCCCGAGGCTGGCCGGCTGAACAGCCAGAAGTAGGGACCAGGCAACAGCAGGAGGCTCCAGGCAGGCCGCGAGGAGGGTGGCCCCTGAGGAGGGAACTTCATTGTACCCCCACCCCGAGAAAGGAGGCCCCTGCCCCACACAGGCACGCCACAGCGCGAATTTAGCACCTGGCTCACAGCAGGCCAGGTGCCGCCTGGGGAAGGGGTCTCAGGCTCCCGGAAGCCCGGCCTCCCTCTGGATTGAGGCTGGGAACCCGGGGAACATTCCTGCCCCGCCTCCCCCTCCCCTGCCCCTCCTCCTCCTCCCTCCAGGCTGCTTCACCAGCTCGCATCTCTGAAGGCGGTTTGGGCCTCCTCATGGCCAGGGGGACTCCCTCAGGGACACCCCGATGCCCGTCACCCTGGGAGGCAGCCCTGCACCCCTGGCCGGGAGACCCCCCCCACCACACCACACGTGGACTGCCTTGAACTGAGGGTTCGAGACTCGCTGACCAGTGGGAGTTGGGCCCCTCCCTCCTGGGGCTCTCGGCACCCGGGTCCCAGCGACCCGGAGGAATTCTCTCCTCTGCACCTTAAAGCGCGCGCCCCGGCCCGCGGTCTTTCCCAGAAGGATTAACACCTGGACCGTCCTTCCAGGGAGAGGCACGGAGCCAACTGTTGGGCTTCGGGCCACTTCCCCCACACGCCTGGGCAGGTAGCAGGAAGCTTCCCACCCCACAGGGTCAGACCCACGTCCCTTGAAGTCCAAGGGACGGCCTCCTCAGAGTCGTTTTCCCGTGAAGCCCTCTCCCCTGCCCTCCCGGCCGCTCTGTCGCACGCAGCTGGCACCGTCTCTGGGTGGCAAAAGAGGTGGCAGGAGACAGGGGGATCCGCACGCCCCTCCATCTGGGTGGGGGAGGCTCCTGGTGTCTGTCGTCGGCTGTCTGCGGCGCTACTCACACTGCGAAGTGGCACAACAATGAAGCACTCAAAAATGGTGGGGGCGCTCGAGGAAGCCAGACGCGGCCCTGGGATGTGGGCAGTGCGCGCGAGGAGCGGCGGCGCGCGCTGTAGATGGAGACGCGCGGGTCGAGGCTCACGGCGGTCATAAGGTTGGTCGGCGGCGGTCGGGGGCGCGGCCGGGCAGACGCGAGGGGTGGGTCTCGTGCCCGGCGGCGCGATGGTGCGGTAGATAAGCGCTTCACCGGGTCACGCCCGCCAATTTAACGAGAAGGGGACACTCTTTGGCCAGGTCTGTGCTGGTCGCCGGGAGCCCGGCAGAGCAGGCGGCCTCGCAGCCCCAGCGCGCTTGTCGGCTCATGGGAGGAGGTCATGGCCATGGTCAGGCACTGCGGGGGGCCGGGCGGGCGGCAGGCACCCGCTGCAGCGGAGGGCGGGCGCCTGGCGGCAGTGCGTATGCATGCCGCCGCCAGCCCCGCCGCCGGGGATCCCCCTGCTGTTCTGCCCCGCCCGGCCGCGGGGCGGGGCCGAGGGGTGGCGGTCGAGGGCCGGTCCCTGGGGAAGGCGCGCCCGCCCCCCGGCCACGCCCCGGCCTCGGTCTGTCGGCGTCTGGGTTGTTCTGCCTGTCAGGTCCGCTCGTCTGCCTGGTCCCTCCTGAGCCGCGCCCAATCTGTTCCTCCCGCCCTGTGTCATTCACCTGGCTCCCACCCGGCCCCTCCCGCGCGCCTCTGTTTGCCCCCTGTCGCGCCCACGCGCGCGTCTCGCGCCCCCCACGCCCACCCGTTGCGGGGAGGCGTTCCCAGCTGAGCCTCGGAAGGCAGGCGCTGGCGGCAGGCAGGTGCAGGCAGCGACCCCAAGATCGAGCCGGGCGGCCGGGCGGGCCAGTCGGGTGGGGGCTCGGGCACCCGCGTTACCGGGGACAGAGGGTGGGGATACAGAGGTAAAAGAGGGGTTTAGGGCACGCCCGGACTGACCTCTCCTCGGTGCCCGGAGGGCGGCTCGTTAGCTCTTCCTCCAACACTTGCGCTCTCTTTGCCCCCCCCCTTTGGCTCTGTGAGTGGAGAATATGGTGGGGCCTGCACACCACCAGGCCATCGACCTGAGGCAAGCCGGTCAGACCGGCCAGCGTGGGAGCCCGGTGAGGTGCCGCCGGAAGTGTCTGGGGGTCGTCGGTGGGGCTGGACCGGGCAGGTCACAAGGTGTTTCTCAAGGGTCGCGGCAGGATGGGGATATGCCTTGTCCTTCTGGCCCTCTGCCCCAGGCTGCGGCTGGACCTGTGGATTTCCCTGGGTGCGGGTGGGTGTCAGGTTGGCAAGGTCCTCCGCACTGCCCCTGGCGTCCGGTTCCCTGCACCCCAGAAGGGAGCATTGGGGAGGTGGTGCCCAGAAAAATTTTGGGACCTTGCCCAGGGCAGACGGATAACTGCCTGCTAGCCATGTCAGGGACAGGTCACTTACAAGACGCCTCCCAGGTCTTCACTGAGCACCCCGGGCTGATTTATTTCATGTACCCCCCCCGCCCCCACCAGAAAGCCACCTGTGTTGGTGGATACAGTGCGGTTCTGGCCCTTCGCCCCTGACTCCCCACCCCTGGGTGCTGCCCGCACACAGCCAGCAGTTTGTATTTGCAGAAAAATGAATGAAGTGGGTCCCAGCCTGTGCCGGGCACTTCGGAGACTCCAGGCTGGCACTGGGGAGCCTCTCTGGAAGTACAACGCTTCGGCAGACAGCCAGAGGGAGGCGGAGAGACAGCCACCACGGGGCCCCAGGGGACAGGCCGGGGCACACAGCAGGCACTCAGTCAATCCTTCCTGAATGAACGCGTGAATGAGCAAGCTGCGTCCGCACATCCACATCCCAAGCCGAAGGAGGAAGATGGTCTTTTAATAGTGGAAGAACTGAGGAGGGAGGGCCGTAGAGAAGGAAGGAAAAAAGTGAGTTCGGATCCGTCTCACACACAGCAGACGGGAGTAGAGTTTGAGTGGGCGGAGGCTTAAATATAAACGCTGAAGTGAAGTCACGCGGATCCTGTAGAAACTCTCATTCCGCAAACACCTGTAGGCAGGGAAAACATGTCTAATTGTGCTTAAAATCGAGACGATGCCTGAAATTAGCAAGGTCAAAAAGACAACCGAGCAGCTGGAAGGAGAATTTACGACTCCCATCACAGGCGGAGGATTGATACAGCACCCACTCGTAGAGGACATCTGATGTGGGACAGAGAATGACAGACGGCCTCCGGGAGACGGGAACCCAAGACGGGAAGGGTTCACAGGAAAAGGGGCTCGTGGTCTTTGCACTTAGAGAAAATGACCGACGTCACTCGTGGCAGGAAAAATACAAGCGAAGAGTACATTCTGATGCCCCGTTCACCTATCTGATTGGCGAAAATCCAGACGTCTGACGGGGCCCCCATGCCGCGGGCGAGGAGGCAGGGCTCCCGCACATCGGGAACTGACCCAGAGACCCGGGGCGGGGGTGGGGATGGAAAATGGTGCACACACGGGCCACGCAGCGGTGTGCTGGTTGTATCAGCCAAACACCGGAAACAACGTCCCTCAGTTAGTCGAATGCGATATGGCACCGCCCCACAGTGTCGCCCACGATCGGTGTTTTCACCGGCACGCGAAGGCCCAGGGCACCCAGAGACCACGTTGTTCCTGATAGGAGTATTGTCACTTTGGGATTAGGTATAGGATGTTAAATTCCGGGACTCTGGGTATTAAGAAATAGAAGCATAGCCATCAAGGAAATACGGATCAATCCTTGGATCGGAATCGGGAATCCTGGCATCATCTGCTGTGCCCGTTTATCTGAAGACAAAATTACTTTCGAGCCCGTCCCGCCGAAAAGGTTCAGGAGGGGCCCGTCGGCAGCAGGACAACTTGAGCATGAAAAAGACTCGTGGAGCAAACGACCTCATGGCTTAAACCATTGATTCAGAGCGAGGCTAAAAAAAAAAAAAAAAA